CCCACTTATCCTGGACAGTGACACACACACACACACAGTGACACACACACACACACACACACACACACACACACACACACACACACACACAAGAAGACGTGAACACTGGGAAAGAGGCACAAACACACACTCAAGACTAAAGACACTTTCTTCTCTTTAGCTGACAGTCCAGCGTTAGACTTTATGAGACCTCATTGTTGCAGGACCACACAGAGACTGGGCTTCCTTCCATGACTGCAGATCCAGGTTGTGAGTTCTTCTACACTCGAGCTTTGTGGTGTAAAAAAAAGACCTGAAAGCTCTGTGTGCTTTTAACTACCCAGTTCATCTCAAAGATGCAGYGAGGAGCCTTAAAGATTGTAGGGACATTTTTTTTTGCACTGGATTTGTACTCCATATTTCTTTAGTAATTTAATATCAAACAAGTAGCTTTATAACTCAGCTGATGTGCATGTTCGAGTAATCTGAGGTGAAACTAGGGAGGGTTTACTTTGGTCAGCTGCTGGCTGTCACTCAGTTATCTGCTCCCTCGGTTATTACCCCCACATCACTTTTTTATCTCATGTGTTTCATTAATTTAGCTGAACCTCACGCTTAAAAGCTAACACTGGAATTTATTTTTAAATTTGGCTTGCTAGCTTTAGAAAAACAAAGCTTTTATCATGTACACTGTATTTAAATGTTCATAATGAATATTTTGTTCATTTGTTTTAATGATGATGCTGCTTTATGTTATTTATTTCTAGTTCTATTTATGTTATGACAAATATGCCACTTTTATCTTATTTATTTTGAGTACTGATTTCTGATTTCCTAGTAATTAAACTAGTAAAGATCTTAGTAATATTAGGGATAAAAGGCCAAGAATGTCTTCACAAACAGATTTTTTTTTCTAAACATATGCATATGTCTAACCCTTCAGTATGGATGTTTGACAGACTTTAACATTTTTACAGTGTTTGATGACAAACAGGGCTGTTCACAGCAAATTTATGGCCTAAACTAAAGTCCTATGTAGCTACATGCCAAGACCAGGCAGCTTTAGAAGTGCGTTGTTCTCTATTTATTTTATTCATTAATTGTAGAACCAGCGAGGTACAGCTTCAGCTTCTCGCCTCGAGAGCATCGGGTTTCAGGTGACGTTCGTTGGAATTACGAGGCCAGTTTTGCCTGATGGAACAGTGTGTGGACCGAGGCTGCAAGGTGCCTTAATTAGCACTTCATGGACCGTGCTACCATTGGAGACATACACCCGGGTTTCTAATGTGGGAGATTCCCAGTGAGCCAGAGAGGCAGTCCCTTTGCATCTGGCATTGAATGCCTTCAGTTTTGCTCATAATTAAAGTGACGTTCTCCGTTTTTACCGAGGTTCTGAAAGGAGGAACGATGGCATCACTGGATCCATCTGTATGAAGCTGCTCTTCTTGTAAACTGGATAGAGACACCACTAGAGCTTCAGACATTTTTTCTGTGTTGGAGATTGATCCACCTCCATGTATCAACATGCTTGTATTGAGTTTTTTTTTTTAAATGTAAACCCATTTCTTCAGGGTCTAAAGATGAAGGGAGGGCCTACAAGGTCAAGATTAAGAAAATAAGATTTTGGAGATATTTGAAATGTTGAAGGATAAAAAAAGTAATGTTTTTAAATTTTCATGTTTGTCAAAAATATTACAGGATATTCTACATAAACACAATAGAAAATTAAATTAAAACTGGTGGACATGTTTAAGGTCTGATGTGGGAATAAAACACATGTTTAGGTTATCTTTCTGCCTGAAATCCAGATCAGAGGTCCACATGAGCTGTTCTGGTTGATGAACATCAGTTCAAAAGAACATTTCATTCTGCTGGTTAGGTCCCAATTTACTACCAGTGTTAATTATACTCAAAACCAGATATTATGGATTTAATTAAAAAATTATATCAACTGGTCCCACTCAACTGAATGGAAGGGAACACATTTACTTTACGTTAACTTTACATTTACGTAAAGTAAACATGTTACCTTTACTCCATTCAGTTGTGTGGAACCAGTTGACATGATTTTTTTTTTTCAATTAAATCCATTATATCTGTTTTTGAGTAAACAAGCCATGGTTTGTAGCTGGTCTGATGCATCTCAATAATCCAGGTAGAAAAATCTAGAAAAAAAGTTGGCATTTCTAACATAGAGGTTCCCTAAATTACAATGTCTGGCAAAAAATCATGAATCACCACTCTTGAAGAAATTTCAGCCTCCTTTTTTATTTTGTAGAAAAGAAGAGACAAACATGATTTCTTTTCCACCCCTTTTTTTTCTTTGGTCATAAAAAATCAGTACATGAAAAAAAAAACGTTTGAACGTTTCAGGATCCAGCTGTTAGATGAAAGAGCTCGATGAATATTCTCAAACAGGGAGGATCAAAAATATGAATAATCCTTTAGTTTAAAAACAAAAAMACTGTGAACTTTAAATAATACGTCTGTTCACAAGGTTGTGGTCATATCAGCATGAATAAAAATCAAGCTCTTCAGTGTATAATCATTTAATGTAGCGACTGATCCAAGCTTTATGTCTGAGCCCMACTGGTAAAACTTTACAACACAGTGACCTAAATTTTCTTATTTACTGTAACAGAAAGCAGTCTGAAACTTTAAGTACATCCACTATTTTTGCCTCAGAATTGTTTGTCAAACATAGAAACTGTAAGAGAAAAGCTGGGTAAGTGGGTCATGCTGCATCATCCAGGTGTGTACAGAACTACTTTTGTCTTCTGTTGTATGAAACAAACTTGATGCGACACAAAGAGTGCCAACATGTTTGGATGTGTTTCTTCCCTGTGGGCTCATGCAGGATATAAATGTCTGATTGCTGCCTTTAATTCTGTATGGAAGAGGTTTAGAATAGTTGGATTAGAGTTTTTGGGAATGCACGGATCACTTCGACACTGTTTAAAAATGCAGACATATTAGACTGATTAATGCTGGAATTGCCCGAYATCTTCCACTCAGTGGCTTGTAGGAGTTTGTTTTCAATAATTTAAACATTACAGGGCTAAACATTTTCTGTCACATACTGTAACTCGTGTATTGACTGTCATGGTGTTTTCTTTCTTCTGTGATTACATTTTGTATCTATTGAGGGGATATTGTACATATTGTTATTTATTTCATGTGAAGGGTGTGTGGGTGTGCGCAAGAGTTCTGCAAGAGTGGGTCCACCCAACACATGGGATTATTTGAACATGTGTTCATTTAAAATGCAAACGGAACACAATTTTGCACCTTGCCCGAGCAGGTGGCACTTCGTCAGCACAGATCTGCACCTGAGTGGACTGCAAGGAGACCTCTACCGTCGGGCTTTGAGTCTGCACTTCTCAAGGTGCTAATGTGTTTGTTCATAAATTAATCCCAGTTGCATCCCCTCAGCCCCGTATCCTGTTTTATGCTGCTGTTTTGTTTGTTTTTTTCTTKCTATGTTAAAATACTGTAGCAGGCAGGGGTGGAGGGTGTCATTCAGTAAAAAAGGCTGGTAAAAATGGATCTTGTGAAATCTTTTTGTTCAGTTGAGCTCCTTGGACTCAGTMACAGAGTCATAAATCATTTAGACTCTTTTAACTCTTGCGTTCAGCTGCTTTTATTGTTTAACTTTGATTAATTTTACAATTCATGAGAAATCAAAGTTAAATCATCTGTCATTTGCAATCGCTGAAGTTTCCTAACACTTCTAA